ACAATTAGATATAAATGTTGATCTACTGTCATTACAATATGCAAGATATGAATATTGTTTAATCTTTCAAAGGCTTGGCAAAATTTTACAAACCCCGAGTGATTCATATATAGTTTAACAGAAAACAACACAATTAAAGTTAAGCTTGAAATAGCAAGCCCGATGTTACTTATATGAAATATGAGTAACCACTGTGGCTTAAATAGATGAACACGATGGAGTGAATACACCTGCACATATACTGTCATGGACTATAAACAATTAATTTTGAAATATTTCGACTTTTCCAAAATACAGAATACGCTTTATAATTACTTATTGAAACAGAGGTAGATGAAATAATTGTTGCACATTTAATGAAAATGAATTACAATGCATAGATTATAGTGTCCTCATTAGAAATCGTAGGGTCAAAATGCAATCTTTATAATCACTATAGATATCTCTTGTTATATTTTTTTAAATATTTTTGTTGGACTAATATAAACATACATATAATGGATTCTTAGTCCATATCCAAACATGAATTAGCAGAACATTGTTTCTAAATCTCGACCACAGTTTAAAATATGAAATAATTTCGAGTTAGTTTGTGTGTTTGTATGTGTGTGTGATTTGGATTTCCAATTTAGATGTAACATTTTGAGTCAAATCACTGCGATATCTACATAGTGGTAGTTAATAGTTATGTCTAACACTTAGGCATTATGCCTCAAACATAATGCATGTGGTCCCACCCAGATATATTATCCTGACACCAGGTCTTGCATTCTTAACAGTAATCTCTTAATAATGAGCCAAGGTAGATAAACCTGATATTCCTTGGTTTTAGCTTCAAATGCAAACTGGACCATTTTATCGGTACTTTATAACCTAATATTGTGTATACAATGATTATTTTGAAATGTATTTCAGATAGTTCTACAACACATATTAGAAAAGGGCAGATAGATTTGCTTGGATGTTATTACATATTTAAAGCAAAGTCTCATCGAAGAAAATAAAAAAACGTCGTAGGCGTATGCTCTATACTATTTGTAAGGCGGTAGAAAAAGCATGTTTGTTACTGTGAACGCAACTATGCTATAAGAAGACCATACAAATTTAAAACAAAGGTAACCTGAAAAGCTCGTAGCATGTATCACACTTTAAATATTGAATTGTGCGTCACAGATATGGAGTTATGTATTTACAAATGCATCCTTTCTATACCTTGCTGAACGCCACACAATCAAATATTGTGCAATTGATTAGTTAATGTTAAGCAGTGAACACATGTACCAGTATATTATGGTCAGAGATTTGGGTAAAATGTCTTCTGCAGAGAAAAGCTACAATGCAGAATTGGCACATTCAGCTATAAGGTGAGAAACTATAAATATAGAACAATTTAGAATAAAGATTTATAAGATAAAGAAGACAGAAAATATCTGTATCTCCCAATTAGATACCACGAGACTTGTTGCTGGCGATATATTCCAAATCACGTCTTTCCTTTAAAAAAATGAAAACTAATTTCTAATAAACAATATTGATCTGATTCACATTTCAATGGATCAGCTACAGGTGGACGCTGAATAAATCTCCACTTACAATAGCTTTTATACCTCCTAAATATACATCTGAATGCTTAATCATTCTACATTCCTGTTCAATTCATTCAAAATGTTTCAGTAAGATCATTTAAATCACATCAATTATGAAACAGTCTGCTTTCAAAATAGTTTGTATATATGAATCAAAATGTTTATTAGTCAGACGTTTTCTATATAGTTCATTACTGTCTTATCATCACCAATCCCAGACCAGGATTACACAGTGCATACTTTTTCCTTCTACAGCTTTTTCAGCAGCAAATAATTGCGTTTTATTCATTTTACATTCAAAATATAACATACAATGTTCTTACCAAACAAAAATAGCTTTCGTTTACGACGAGTAAAATGTCACATAGCCAAATCCAACCACCTACCTCACTTGGTTATTTAAAAGCAGTTAGCTATATACATTATAGCATGTTTATATTTTGAATAATTTTTTGTGTATGGAACTGGAAACTAGTGACATATATTTGCCCAAAAATTAACAAATGTATCCATGTTTTATACTTGACAGTGTAAATCCTATAGGAGATTCAATTTGTTGTTTGGATATGCAAACTAGTGACAAATAACTACACAAAAGGTAACTAAATTATTCAGTGAGTTTTCTTTCAGTGTAAATCCTATGAGATTCTGTTGTGTGCATGGGTATTCAAAGAAATGACAAACATTGCCACAGTAATTAATCAAGTTAATAATTTTGTTTTTCTGACAATGTAAATCTTATTTGATCTTTAATTTAGTAGTGACAAATTACACAAGACTCAAGTTAATCCTTTTGAATTCCTGACATTGTAAATCTTATATGAGATTCATGTTTGTGGTTGGGCATGCAAATTAGTGACACATGATTTGCAAAAGAATTAACCATGGTAATCCTTTCGTTCTCTAGAAGTGTAAATCATATATGAGATTAATATTGTGTTAGGATATGCAAAGTAGCTGCAAATACAAACATAATATATAAGTTAATCCTTTAGTGTTCTTGACAGGGTAAATTCTATATAAGAATGAATTTTTTTTTAACATAAAGAAAAACGTTTATAAAACAATTTTAACATTTTGTAGATAACATGTCAATTGAAATTTGAATAATTACATAACTGTTAATTAAATAAGGCTAAAATGTCTAAAACCTCTAAACTATTATTCACGAACAGCCAGATATCTATTTATATGACTACTCAGAAAGCGTTAAGAAAAAATAAATCTGTGTAATTAACAGGTCAAGAAATATCAAATATTTTACGGGAAAATGTCACAATTTCAGGGACTGGTAACGATCAGAACAGCAAAACGACGTGGCAAAAATATGGTGGATATGGCGATTGCATATTTGCTTGGTTAAGCCGAGATGTAGCGATTGAAAGATATTTGAAAATACTCATGTAATAAAAGGAACAATCGCTGAAGCAATCACAATCAAATCTCATTGACTTCAAATTAGACCGGAAGTTGATCGTTGGCATGGTCACCCATGTGTGGAAGACACGAAGCAACTGATAAACTTTTTCACACAATTGGCACTTCAGAATCATTAAGGTTGCGTGGGGTCAGATTGGCACCGGCGAGAGTTAGTTACCTTGTGATAATTGGTAACAGTACACATTAGTTTGCCCCGGAATCAAGTGCCTATGGTTTTAATATTGGTGAGTCTACCTACAGCTATACCTATCATCATCGTATAAGTATCCCGAGCGGATTGATGCTTTTCTTTAAAATATGCACATTCATCCCCATTACATGATACCTTTAAAGAGGAAATGTTTTCTTTGGAAAAGTATACCTTTGGGGTAGACAATATCTTAAGACTAAGCATTAGATAAATCAATGTATATAGTTACATGCTAGAATTTATTAGTTATTCAGATAGAACTTTTGTTGTTTATTAAAAAAAATCTTTTCAAATACACACCAGACTAGTAATAATGGCTTGACTAAATGCTCGAGTTGCACTGCACGCTACCACTTATGTGAATTTTTTTAAAAACAGCTCCGACGCGTCAATATATTTAATGTTTAACTGTTAGTTTTCGGTGGAGTAGGAATCTAAAAATATAATATCACGTGATATTCGGTTCTTCATAGCAACATTTTATTAAGCACATATATCCTACTAAATCAACGAAGTGTGGAAAATAGAAATTACGTATGATTACCTATACAAATTCAAATATTATAGTAAGCATTAAAATAAGATTGAAGGAAAAATTATTATTATTATTATTATTATTATTATTATTATTATTATTATTATTATTATTATTATTATTATTATTATTATTATTATTATTATTATTATTATTATTATTATTATTAATAGTAGCAGTAGTAGTAATAGAAGTGGTAGTAATAGTAGTAGAAGTAGTAGTATTAATAATATATATATATATATATATATATATATATATATATATAGATATAGATATAGATATATATATATATATATATATATATATATATATATATATATATATATATATATATATATATATATATATATATATATATATATATATCGGTTTCAATAAGTATTATTATAGCTACAAGTAAATTTATAATTGGATCTAGCTGAATTATAAATAATCACGTGCACTTTATAAGGTTTTCTCATGAGGTATTTTGTTTAGAAAATTATAATTGCTTCCTGAGGTAAAGTAGAGAACTATATATACGCAGCCTTGAGATCATCGGGACGGGAACATTGGTTTTTTTTACAAGCCACAGAGTGAGGGTGTAGAAGGACGTAGAAAATGAGGTGTTAAGGCTAGGTTTGGATATTCCTGTAATGGAGTTTAATTGGAGATATTTGAAGAAAATTAGTTGTGAAGTTAATAGCGGTGCCGCTTCGGTTACGAGATTGATGATGATGATGATGATGATGATGTCCAATCAAATAATCTCCCTTAATTCCTTTATGCATAGACTGTTTGAACCTACGATCAGCCTTTTACAGGTTTTCTTAATTTTGTTGAATAATTAGGAAAATTAGTAAAACCATGACATTAGCTGTGGACTAAATTTGAGACATCTAATCTAATCCATATATATCAAAGCCAAGTATAAGTCTTTTTTAGACGTTAAACGTAAATGATTCTTAAAGATAGTTAAAATTATCTGCAACTTTCTCTTTCGTATAGGCCGATAGTTCGTGACAAGCAAAGCAAAAACATTAAAAGCAAAAAATGGTGAAATGAAAGATCTTTGACACAATTAGATTTCATGCATGTAATATGAACATGTTTTACATTTTATGAGGCGGTAGGATGCATCAAAAATATATACATATCACGCGCAAATGGCTGTCTCACACTACTATTGCAGTTTGTTTTATATCTTTTCACTCTTATTCAAAATCCACCAACTTCTCTAAGGTATAAATAACATAAATATTGGAAAACGCTCCGGTGGCCTAGTGGTTAAAGCATCTGCCTCAGATGTGGAAGGTCGTGGATTCGATCCCCGGTCCTGTCATACCAGAAACGTACAAAGATAGTACTAACAGCTGCTTCGCTTGGTTCTCAGCATTAAGAGATTAGTGTTAGGGTTGGTCGGCCTGGTGTCAGGATAATGTGACTGGGTGGGACATCATGTAACATGTCTGCGGCATGATGTTCCAGTGCTAGACATCACTATAAACTGCCACACTACAGATATCGTAGCGATATGACTGAACAATTGTTAAAGCTACGTTAAAAGTCACAATCACGTCACATAAATATTGGTATTGTGCTTGAGGATACGTTTACAAAATTAATCAGTTTGTAAACGTTTATACACAATTTGATTATTATTCTTTTGTACCTAACAGATAGGAAAAAAGCTAGTTTTCTGTTTTACTAAAAACTAGGGTCAAATGCTGTTACGGTTGTTTTTAAAACAAATCATGAAAAAAAAATCGTGGTAAATTAGATATCGATGTTTGTTTTTCATTCCTAATTACTTATATAATGCTTTCACTATCAGAACCTCTATAAGAATTATATTACGCTGAAAGCGACCTGATGACATAAAACTTTAAATTTTATGTAGGCTTGGGCTGGAAACATGTTATCGATAAATTATTCGCATTTGGACGGAAACTAAAACATTTCTAATTTATCCTACACATGCACGCTGGGATCTAAGCATTGAAATTTCTTAATGTAGGAATTAGGTAGTGGGTACATAAAATTAAATATTTCCAAATAATGGCGATTTTCTCTTAAATTAACACGTGACTATAATGGCACATATGTATACTTAAGCGAGTCCTCGGTGCATAGACATCATCTGCACATATTCATATTATGAATCTTTGGTATGTTCAATGAGGTTTTCTTAACAATTTAGTGGTAATTAATGCAGGTCCCATTACACTACAATAACCAAAAATAAATGTATTGAGATTTCGGGGTTCGCTGGTTATTAGAAAAATCTATATAACCTATCCATTCAGACAAAACATGAGCACGGAAAAGTCATAAAACAAAGCACACCTATGCAGAAGTGTTAACAAAGTTGTCCTGGAGAGCTTTTTTACCATGACAAAATCCACTTCTAATGAAACCAAACAATAGAAACAACAGTTTAAGTCTGTCATTGATATTTATGTTACACCCACTCAGTTTGTCATCTGTTCCCTCAAGTTGTATTTCCATTTTAGTACACTATGCAAGTTTTGAACGAATATCCAAATACTGATTCATTCGATGCATTGCAAAATGGGTATGTGTTATTTCATTTCTTGTTATATCTACCCTCGTTCCCGCATCCTGTAACTTAAACTGTTACTTCATAACTATTAAATTACTTAGCTGCAGTACAACTATTTTTACTTAATGCACTGGTAAATAAATAAATTGTGTATGTGACAAAGTTTCTTTGCTTTCAGGCCATCTCAATTTTTCAAACTTTGATACCTCATATGTATTTCTATATAATGTTCGGCATGTGGTATTAGTCTTAATATATGGCCTTCTGTTTCCAATAATCCAAAACACTTGATATAAACAATGACTTGAACACTGGGTTTGAATCGTCGACGTTGTACTAACCTACTGAATTGTTAGGGCACGATTAACTTTTATAATCGTCATGATTTTTGATATAGATATACTTTTTCTAGAAAACAATATTTGATATATAAATGCCAAGAAAATATAACTACTTAAGAAATATATTTTCAAACCATAAATATCAGGACATCAGAAATATATTTTCAAGTCATAAATATCAGGACATCTTCATATTGGTGACAAAAACAAACAATATGTCTCATTCACTAATTTACTCTATCACCCATTTAACATTTTCTTGTCACTTTAGTCTCCACTAAAGTCATCTTTAGATGCCATAATCTACATCATCAACGTTGTCGTTGTCATTATAAAGGAAGCATCGTCATAATGTACAATACTCAAACGGATATGGTTGATATAGAGATGAAAAATAAATGGACAGAGGAAGGATATTTTTCATGCATCATAAATGATTATATCCACCCAAACCACTCCAATCAAAGTTAGAATATCTATACATACCACTTGTTAATATGATCAAGTCCAATTATTAGCTCTTTCTATGATTTATGTTAGTCAGTAAATGCTACACAGTCTTTTGATAAAGTAACACCAAGGCCGTTTAAGTCTTTGCACCACTTTATTTCCAAAATCAACTAAATGCATATGACTTAAATTATATTTTCTCTAAGGACAAAAACGTACCTTGCATCTTGTCACAATAATTATAGTACCATTATTGATACAATTTTCGTTATTTGTAATATGTTGCCGCATTTATTTCTTTCTGCATCAATTATTATTATTAGTAGTAGTAATATTATTTGTTTTATTATTATTATTATTAGTAGTAGTAGTAGTAGTAGTAGTAGCAGTAGTAGTAGTATGATCATTATTATTATTATTATTGTTATTATTATTATTATTATTATTATTATTATTATTATTATTATTATTATTATTATTATTATTATTATTATTGTCGTTGTTCTTAATTTCTTCTTTATGATGTTTTTGCTGATGATGCGTTTGTTCTGGTCTTAATTAAGTTGGCTTTTTACTTTTGAGGATTTTGTTTATGTGATTTAATGTGATTTGGATATTTGATGTAGTTCCAACAATGTTTCAGCTATATCGCTACGTTGTCTGCAGTATTCCAGTTTATAGTGACATTTAGCACTGTTGCATCATGCCGCATACACGTAGAATCATGTCTCATCCATTCACGTTATCCTGAAGAAAGACCGACAAATCCTATCACTAATCTCTATATGCTGAGCTCTAAGGGAAGCAGCTCTTAGAACCTTGTTTTTCAGTCGTTGTTATAACTCAAAGTTGTCATGTGGATTTTGTTTACGTTTTCAGTTTATAAATTTTAAAACTCGACGTTCTAGAGGTTTTAATTGCCTTGAAAACAAGTTGTGGACGATAGCGGGATGCATGAATCTTTGAGCAGGGGTACATTGCTAATATAAACTATTCGTGAACCGTATGCGAACATTTCCCTTCTGGAACTTGTATTTATAAGACAATTTTTTTTTTACTCAGGACCAGGCTGCATATTCCAGGACAATCCCTATGTTACAATATAAATCCTGTATTATTTGCCAATTCCCAATTTTCTTTTCCAGGTTCATGTCATCCAGACCATATCGTGCAATTCAGGTCATATTGTGTTTTAAGACACACCAAATATCTCAAGTCAGGTGCTGTATTTCAAGAGAAAGCATTTTATCTTGGAACAAAAATCCATTCCCATCGTCACTAAATTAGATATGATACATAAAAGAGCATATGTTTCAATAATATTTACTATATTAGCTTTTGTGTCTTGTAAAGGATTTCTATTTTTATCGTATTACTTTGCATCTCTCTCAACTTTGCGTTCAATGAAATTTATGAATTTAAGCACAATTTGTATGAGTATTTGATTGTGGCTCCAAAAGCATTTCAACAATACATACAAGCTATTGATGTTTCATTATTTTACTTTGAAAAGTACAGCTTTTGGATGAAATAAGAAAGTATATGTAACAAGCTAACCAACTGCAGCAATAAATCTGCCTCTGTCTCTGTCTCTGCCTTTCTGTCTGTGCGTGTGTAAGTCTCTCTCTCTCTCTCTCTCTCTCTCTCTCTCTCTCTCTATATATATATATATATATATATATATATATATATATATATATATATATATATATGTGTGTGTGTGTGTATGTATGTGTATGTGTGTATGTGTGTGTCTATAAATAAATCAAGGTACACATGATTAATTATAGGAAATACAAATCTTTTCTAAAATGAACAGAATGAGGGTTTTACTTGTATCTGTGTGTGTGCGTGATTGCTTGCGAGTGTGCGTGCGTGCATGCAGTGACACGAACTGGATTGTTTTCGTGAATTTTTTGTCAATTTGATTTCACCACCTAGGCCAGTAATGATATATTAATGGACGAGGCAAAATTATACACTTTTCGTGGTATAGTATAAATAGATTTGTGTGGTATTTGACGCGTTTTGAATTTAGTAATGTCACTTCTTAAAATGTAGCATGGTTTGGAAAATTTATATTACTTTTGTCGCAATAACACATATGGACATTTTATAATGTAAACTATTTAAAAATCTGTTAATTGTCACTTATTTATATAAGTTTATTTATGCAAAGCCTGAATGGATTCTTAGGAGCGCTTATTATAAATGTGTAACAAATCTTTCTACCTCTCCGTGTGTGACGATATATTTAATGTTATTAGCCAAGACAATCGATATTTAAAACAATTTCTTAATTGTTCATTGCAAAACTGTTTCCACAGTTGCTGTTTTAGCAGTACGTTTTGAAGTCAGAGCTGAAGTTTGAACAGAAGGATTAAGATTTTTAATTTATGATATTTAAATTAACGTACAAGAAATATATTAAAGCAGGACAAATGAAGATTCTAATATGTCCGTGTGCTAATCTGCATAATAGTTTTGATTCTCTGAAACATAAAGTAACATATTTGTTTAAATTGATACGTATATAATAGTTGTTGTTGTGGTGGTGCTTAACGCCATTTTAATGCATACGATAGGCCATATATGTCAGCCTGTATTATTGGTGGAGAAAAGAAACTCAGAAAGAACCAACGACCTACGAGAATATATAATTGTAGTTTTCACAAAATTTTTATTGAGTGAATGATTAAACATAGAGTGTTCTGGTGAATTAAATCTGTCAAGCATTCAATTTGTTGATAATCTGCTTGGAACCATTTTATAATTATAATTACAAAAAAGGACCCTATTTTCATAAAGTGTATATGATTTGTGAGGATATATGTGTTGAAAATAAAGAGGTCTCATGGATGTTCCTTGTATACATGTTATATAGCTCTATTAGCAATGGAGTTTTGAATTAGGATTTCCTTAAATATAGGTAGATCATGTGCGTCGTATAACTAAAGTTTAGAAACATGTCGACTGTAACAGAAAGATGA